TTCTGTTTCAACTTCTTTGTATTGATGAGGCCCGACTTTAGCCGCTCTCTAAAATCCGATATTCATTATACTTTTATACAAACTGTCAAACTTTGAACATTTCCGATAATGTTTTCTCAGCTGTGTAAAGCGTCGTAATCGTCGCAGACATTACATAGTCTGTCACACAATGACTCACCAGTGTCAGCGTGACAGCAGGGAATTCAGAACTTGTAAGCTAGATTTTAATCTGATATATTTTCTTATGTTATAGAGATCTTTCAAGTAACGCGATATCCACTTTGTCATCTAAACAACTTATTGATCTTCCACGGAACTTACGTATACTGTAAGTTTCATATGGGTAACTGTATCTTGTAAGCCGGTTCAATATTTTTCTTTTAAAGTCGAAATCCGTTGGATTTCCACGAAAAAATTAATGTCCCTTTCATTGTTTTATCACGCATGTTTGTTGAATCACAGATTTTCTCGTATCTTTTGTCTATCCTGTCTTTACACAGCTATGAGAAACCTAAAAGATGTGTTCTTTCCACAACTGATACTCGGGAAACACGTAAAAGAAGAATTGTACCCAAAAGTTTGTTAAGTAAAGGAATGATTCTAAGTGCTCTTGTGAATAGCAGTTGTCTTTTTTTAATCTTCTCGAAGACCTTAAGCTTGCTTTCGTATGGTAAAAGTCCTTACACCACTCCCCACCCCTTTTTTCCCCCATGATTCTATACAGATGTCTCCAGTACCATCTCAATATATACTTGTACCATGTACAAGCCAAGAGTATTCCCTGTCATGTTTCCATGGAATATTTTTGCTTTTGTTTTAAGGAACCTGTTGGACAATCCAATAGATTGTAAAGACGCAATTCTGAAGCAACTGGCAGCTTCTATTACTCTTAAGTCCAACTGCGGCCAAATATCGAATGTTGCAGTGGAAAGTGACTTGCATTTTCCTCACTCAGAAGGTAAGCTTAGCTCTAATAAAAGGTCAGTGTCCTCTACCCTTAGGA